CCCCCCCCAGCCGCCAGTCCAGCCCCACTCCAAGCAGAATTCCAGCCCCCACTCCAATCCTACACCAATGCCACTCCAATCCCCCTCCAGCCCCACTCCCATCCCATCCAGCCCCCCTCCAGCCCCCCTGTCCCCCCTGCAGCCGCACTGACACAGGCTGTGCTTGCGGGCGATGTAGCGCAGGATGGCGTTGCTCTGGGTCAGTTTGGTGGTGCCATCGATGAAGTACGGCAGCTGGAGGGGACACAGGGACATGGGGACACCGGGGCAGCGAGACCCCCCCAGTCCCAGCCCCCCAGCTCCAGACACCCACGTTGGGGAAGTCGAGGCCCAGCTTCTCCTTCTCATTGATCCACTGGCTCTTGTCGTAGTCGGGAGCTGCAAGGGAAGGGGTTTGGCTGATGTATCCACCCCCAAAACCCCAGAAGAGGTTGAGGGTGCTGTGGGGACCCCCTGGCCCCCCTCACCTTCCCCACAGCTGTACAGCTTGTCCTCATAGGGCGTCTCCGTGTACTCCAGGAGCAGGCGGATGGCGTGGGCAAGCTGGGGAGTGGGATGGGTGAGACACCCCAAAAACCCCCCCCAGACGTGAGCCTGCAACTGGCTCACACACGGGGAAACTGAGGCACAGGGGAGGGCAAAGTGCACCCCTGCCCAGGGCCCCCAGTCAGCACCCCCTGCACAGGGAACCCCCCAAAAGCAACACCCCCCCACCACAACTGCAGCAGGACCCCACAGTGCATCCCAGAGCCACCCCAAAACTCATCCCAGATTGACCCCACAGTTCATCCCAGAGCATCCCCAAAGATCAAGGAGACCTCCCACAGTTTCCCCAAAAGACCTGAGGGGCTCTCACAGCTTCTCCCACGGTTAGGACAGCCCAAGACCCCCCAAAACACCAGAAGGACCCCCACGGATTCAGCACAGCCCCCCAAGGGTGACCCCCTGCAGCCCCCCCAAGATTAATGAGGGGCCTCATTAGAGCTCCTTAGGAATGTGCTAATGAGGAGCGGGAGCGGAGGAGGAGGGGCCAGCGCCGCCTCCCCCCAAACACCAG